TTCGTCATGCTCATTTGGCGATTCGCTTGCCTGATTATTTACTCGCTTGCTTCACTAGCTTATTATCTTTTGTTTGGATTTTATATGCTCGTTTGCACATCGAATTGGCAAATTTTTATTTTTATGAAACGGCAATCGTTCAATTGCGCGAAGGTCGTAAAGCAATAGTGAAAAAAATCTTTTTTTTTATGAGAATTCAAAATTTTGCGTGAAGGTCTGGTATTAAATACTGTTAGTGATGTTTAAAAAATTTTATTAAAAAAAGTATACATTTTTTTTTGCTATTTGAAAAATTTTTAAATTGCATTGATCTCTTCTTTTACTTAGACTGTGCGAGAAATTTTATTTTCGCTGGCTTAAAAATTAGTTTGCCAGATTTGAAAAAACTAAATTTTATTAAAAAAAAAAAAAAATTTTATGATGCAAATTAAAAAAAAAATTAAATTTAAAAAATTTTAGGCTTGAAAATTGTAATTTAGAAAAAGTTTAGTTTTGAAAACTGTAAATTGGTTTATTTTGAAAATAATTCTAATTTTTGCTAATTTTTTCTATAAATGTGTTTCAATCAAACAAAAAAAAAATTAATTAAAAAAGTTTTAGTTTTGAAAATTGTAAATTTGTTTATTTTGAATATATGAAAATGAAAATGAAAATTCCTAAATTTAACTTCATGAGCTCAAGTGGTTTTTAGCCATGCTTAGCCTTGCTTATACTCATTTGCATTTAAATATTGCTATTATCTTCAAATTTATGGCCAAACATTTTACCTTATGCTCGCGTCTATATGTATATTTATCAATCAGCTGCCGGAAGGTTCTGATTTTTTAGTTAGTTACTTCAACAATTCTAATTAATTATTTGCCTAAAATTTGGATGATGCGCTAAATTCCAGTATATCATTAGATTTACTATATACAAAATTCTTTTAAGTAAAAAAAATTAATTTTTGTAAAAAATATTAGAGCAAATATGGAAAACTAATTTGGATTATATAACAAATTATTTCCCAAAAAAAAAAAATTAACAAAATATAACTTGTAAATTATGAGTTAAACATTTAAATAAAATTTAAGTAAAGTTTAAGCTTTTTTTTCTAATTAGCTTTTTAAAATCTTTACAATTCAGATATTTTTAAAAACATCATAAAATTTTAGTTATGAAATATTAAAATTTTTAATTAAAAAATTAAAATGTTTTAAAAATAAATTTCTAAAAAATATTTCCCTTAAAAATGTATTAAAATTATTATAAATTTTAATAAAAGAATTTCAAGTAATAAAAAAATTAAAATTTTTTAAAAATAAAGAAATATTTTCCTCAAAACTATACTTCAATAAAAAAAAAAATTGTTTTAAATTTTAATTGAAAAGAATTTAATTGCAAAATAAAATTAAAATTTTTTCAAAGTAAATCCTTAAGTATATTTCGCAAAATACGTTTTAATAAAAAAAAATTTTTAATTGTTATAATATTTTATAAAAAAAATTCAATCAATAAAACAAATAATAATAATGCTCAAGAAATCCATTTTAATAAAAAAATTAACATACTAAAAAATTTAATAAAAAAAATTTAATTTCTAACAAAAATTTAATTTATAAACAAAATTAAAATTTTTTAAAAATAAATCGTAAAAGAATATATTTCCGTAAAATAATAATAAACAAAAATTATTTATGTACATATTTCTCAAAAACAAATTTATTATTGATTCGTTATAAAAGAGACTAGTACGTTAAAAATCTTTTCGATTAATATTTCCCTCTCTGCATTTGCTACTGCCACTGCCGCTTACGGTAATGCTTATCTCGTCTTCATCACTTGCTGAAGGTTCAATTATTTATACAACACGGGTAAATATTTTGTCATTGATTTCTTACAAATTCTTATTACACACATTTATACATACACATAGCAGTAATAATAGTCATTTCGTTTGACTAATCACCCGGATATGTTTGGCCAAGCTGCCACACGGTGTCAAATAATCCATCATTTTTCATGCCCAAGCTTTTTGTTTTTGTCAAAGCATAATAACTTTTCTGAAGTAATTTACAAATAATTCGACAGCAACTATAAAAACGCCCACACCAAAAAACGACAAAACAACAATAAACTCCATTGAAGTCGAGTTGTTGAGAGATTCGATTATGCAGATAATAAGACATCGGAAACTAATTATGGAACAAAGCGGTGGCAAAAAGCACAGTAATAGCAGAATAAAGCATAAAAAATAAAAATAAAATTTTTAACAAAGAATTGAATTTCTTGTAATATTTTGAAAAAAAAAAATAATAACTTCATTCTAAGCCTTTTGATAAAATCTTTGTTTGAATTTATACAAATTGCGACGGCTTTTAATTTGTTCAAAATTTGCTTTCCACACCTCCGTTGTTAAGAAATTAATTTAAAAGTCATTAATCATAAGTGACTTTTCTGAATACTGTAATTTTAGCCAGGCTTTATGACCTTTCCGATAATTTGTCAGAATTTTTTAGGTTTACATTGAGAATCCGAATTCTTTTCTTACATAATTAAATTATTTTACGCTTGTGTGCTTACATTTTTTAAATTCAATATATTGATATTCAATAAAATAAATAATTACATTTCAAAACCTTGATTTGAACAAATATTTTTGTTGGCACAAAATTCTAGAAAATTTTAATTTTAATTTAAAAAAAATATTTTTCTAACCAAAAAATTAAAACACAAATTCATATTTCTCATATATAAATAAAATTTATAGTTTCTTACCGAATAATTGTTGCTTTTATATATTATTAACTTTTTATATATTTTTTTAAACATTTTCTTTCATTAAATAGACAGAAATATTTGTTTTTTATATTTTTCTTACTTTTTTATCACGCTATTTTTTAATCGTTTTAATCACCATACATTAAATATTTACGAGAATTTTATTTTTAAAAAATTTAAAAATACAAAATTTTTTACTTTGTCTTATTTTTTTCTAAAATATCCTCAGTAATTTATTATAATTGTTAAAATTTTGTTTTCTTTTTTAAGTATTCATTTTTTTTATATAAATTATTTTAAATAATCATTAACTTTTATTTTTGATATTTTCGCAATTTATTTTTATCCTATCCCTCTTTTTTAATTTGGGATTTTTATTAAACAAAATTATAGATTTGATAGAATTTGTTTAATTAGTTTTATGTATTTTTACTGGCAAATTAGTTTTATATTATTTATTAATTATTTTAAATTTTATTTATTCTTAATTTTTAAATTACTAAAATTTCTATTTCTATTAATTTATTATAATTTTTTATATATTTTTTTAATTATTCATAGTTTTATTTTTATATAAATTTTTTTAATAATCAGAACTTTTTTTTGATATTTTTTTATATTTTTCAACCATCCCTTATTTTTTTGTTTTTGAAATTTTTTAAAAGTTTTAAAAAAATTGATTAAAAAATTAAAAAGTGAAACTACATTTCATAATTAAAATGTTTTTGAATGTATTTTAATTTTTCCTAACTTTTTAAAGTTTTATTTTAATTAAAAATTTATTTTTATTTTTTATAATTTGTAAGTTTTAAATTTTTTATTATTTGAAATTATATTAACATATACTTTTAAGTCCAACATGTTTCCTTCCTTAAATCATTATTAAATTTTTTTCTTAATAAATTTTGAAATTTCTTACACATTTTTTTTTAAGCTTATTGCTTTAGCATACCAGCTTGCTTCACCAATTTCTATTTATAATTATTATTTCTTAATGATAATACTCATTTATCGGCCATTGGAAACATCATAAAATGAATAATGTGTGTGTGTGAGCGTATGTGTAGTGTCTGTTTGGCAATCAATTAAACGTTTTTTGAACCTTATCGCCTGCTATATACATATATACATACATACGTCTGCTATATAAGTATGTAAGTATGTTTGTACGTATGTATGGATAAGCTTCTTACTTGGTACGGCATTACGCTGATTCACGCTCCCACACGCTTTTTCATATATAAACATATGTACAACAACTACAAAACTCAGGTGTTCTAAGCAGCAAATTTTATGATGTCTTCGCATTTTTTAATTGCTAGCTCTTCGCTGCCTTAAAAAAAATATTTAAAAATAATTCTAGATAAAGCAAGAATCATAACATGTGTGTCGCTAGCTTGTAATATAAATTATGAGATATACGCATGTTCATGCCGAAAACTACATAAATATCATAAATTCATTAGCGCCCACATGTGGCATACACCTAGCCTATTTAAAGGCGCCACAACATAATGATAAACCGCCACACTCTCAGTGTGACGGTTTATCATTTAAAAACACAAACACAGATCTGTTATGTTCAGCGAATAACCTCGCTTTGTCACCCTCCTCCAGTCAGCTCCCACGCGCTCTACTTTGTTAGCCTGGTTTCTTGTTGCATTCGCCTCGCTTCAAGGCACTTCGACACTTTTGTCTGTCTGTCTGTCTGTCAGCCGACGAGCGGCGCCGTTCGCCTTCTGCGCCGTGCGCTCTTGAGTTATGTGGCAATTTCTGCTATGACTTGGTTCTTCTCATGAGAAAATATGAGTCAAAACAGACAGCAAATCGTTTCTGGCGCTGTCTCATTTGATACTTAGGTGCTTAAGTACTTAAGTATATCTGCCGTGTTTTCCAGACACTGTTTCCATTACAGTTGCCTCATATACTAAGCGTTGTTATTGTTATAAATTATCCGCTCTACGCCGGCCACATATGTCTGCTGTCTTAACCCACACTCGCGCCGTCGCACTCTGCCGCTTTAGCCCTTTTAATTTCGCGGCGAATTAAGATTTCATAATTTCGCATTAATTATTAATATGTAACGGTTAATTTCGGTATTGTGTATTAATTTGTGTGCTGAAGCGCAACCGTGTTGAATTTTATTTTATTACTTAACCTAAGATTGTATTCAGATAAGTACTTTTGCGCATGCATGAGCGATTTTAATTAATTATTTGTTTTTCCTCTTTTCATTTCAGCTGAACGTTCGCTGTCCGACAAGTGATTAATGTAAGTCCAAAAGCATTTTTATCGAATATTATTAGCTATTATGCCCGATCGCATCAGACACAACGTGTAGTTATTCTTATAAGGCGATAAGATTGCCACTAGCGCTGAGAGAACTTTTGTTTAGAGTGAAGCCCACACTGACGTAGAAGAATGTCTCACGGGCCCCTGAGGCATTATATATATCAAATAAACTATTCGAGAATAGCTACGATTATTTGCTATAAAAGCAAGATGCTGCCTGCTAACGCCAGTTTCTTAGCTCGTTTGCATATTAGTTTTGTTGCCAATTTGTTTAGGTATTGAGGGATTTTTAGAGTACTCTAAGGCTCACTGATTAAATTTAGATACCCTTTTCTTTGAAATGAGCTTCCAGCTGCTACCTTCTTGACACAAGAACTTTTAAGTTTCGGCTTTCCTGTCTCACTCCTCGCGCTCACTTTCGAATACTTCATAAAAGCTAGCCAAGCTTTTTATGACATGATAGCCTTAATATATCCTCAAAAAAGATGATGAATATTATATCCAGATTGTTTGATTCGATCTAATTCAAAGCTGAAAATATTGCTTTAAATGTTCAGACTCTTTGGGAGAGCACCAAAACTACATAATTTATCAAATCGTGTCTCAAGAGTTTAACCATAGCTTATGTTCGACGATTTGGCATTTTTTCAAAACATTAACATAGAAAAGAGTCCATACTCTATTTTATAAAGCCCAACACTTTTTCAAGACCGAATAGTACATAGCGCTGAGAAACTACTGCCGACTATCTGTCTTCGCACCACATTTCTTAGCCACAACTCTGTTTCTAGAATCTTTATTAGAGTACATTTTACTACCTAAGCATTTCGACGACTTTCACGGGTCTTAAAATATCTCTTTCCAAAGCTCAGATCTCTTGAGCGGAGAGATCAGTATTTTTATGCGCGATAACTCCCAGCTACACTCGACCAAAACGTTGATTCACTCAGGCGTTCATTCAGTTAATTAATTTCATTTGAATTAACAATAATTACAGTTGATTTATTTGGCAACAAACTTCTGTACCGTTAAAGAAAACAGAAAAAAATGTATATTGCAACAAAATACAACACTTTTGAGTGCACACGCGGCGCGCGCCAACTATTCGCATTGCAAGTCCTACAAACTAACCTTAATTTGGCACCGACTAGCACGATTGTATGCAACAATTGAAGCTTAAACAACTGCGCGCACAATTAAAAGCGCCTAATTATCAACCTTCAACGCCACAAAATCGTAAAACAGTACAGCAGTAAATAATACACTAACCGCTTACAAATTTTATTGCACCCAATGCGAAGGTGCAAGTGATATATGCGCAAATGGCAAGCGTCGACGCTGGTGCTGACGGTGGCCACTGCATGAACATGCAACTCTCCGTGCAAACAATGCAACACATGCCGCACACGCAATTCAATTCACAATGTAAACAGTTAGAGGAGGCGCGCGGCAGCTGCAATTGCAACAATTTGCGCGAGTTAGTGCGAAAAGTTGGCGGTCGAAAGCTACAAACAGCACATTTACATTAAGGCAACCGCAATAAAGTTAGTTGGCGCCTGGCGCGCACAAACGCCCACAACGCGCCGCGCCATCCACACCCGTCAGCCTGCGCGCTGAGGGCGAGCATTTAAGCTGCATCACAAATTCCACCAAAATTACAGATAAACAAAACAAATCCCCAAACGAAGCGCGCGCGGAGTGTGAGCAACCCTGCGCGTTAACCAAAAAATGAATTCGGCGCTCGGTGGTCGCGCGGTAATGGAAATGCAATGCGGCGCGCAGGCGGCAGGCAGGTGGTGACGCAGTAAAATAACTGTAAATTGCGAATTAAGCCAAATCGCGCATGGGTTACAAGCGCCACACACACACACACACTGTGAGCAGCAAACCTTGCTCTGGCGGCGAGCGCGTCACAAAGCGCTTGTGTTGATTTGGTTTAAAAGTTTACTGGTATATTTTGTTAGTCCCTTAAAAGCGACGAAAAATTCAACGAAATTTTACTACGTTTTTACAGTTACGGCGTTTGTTTGACCAGCGACCACCAGCAACCGGCTTCCGCTGCTGTGCGGCTAACATGTTCCGGCTGCAATGGATTTGTGTAGTTTAATTTTGTTTTGGTCTTTCATTTACGGCATTTCGTTTCGTTGTGCTTTGGGGAGATTACACGTACCGTTGGGGTTTTGAAACAAGTGAGCTTTGAACGCTTTGAATGGGTCTACTAAAAAAGTTTACGTCGAGATAGTTTGGCGAACAGGTGCTAACATCAAGCTGTTAACTTTGTAGTTTTTCGATCTCGAGTTCACATTTAAGATCGCATGTCTTGAATTCGAAAGTGGAAAGCTCTCTAAGCTTTTAAATTACTTGCAGCAAACTACAAAATGGCTTGTTTCTAATTTCAAAAATAAAAATTCCAATTAGAACCTTTGAAAACATATCTACCTTAATTAGTAAACAAGACTATTGCGCTAACTTTGTTAGAATCATTCTTTTGCACACATCACCTAATCGTTTCTAATTACCTCAAACCATCAAACCTCAACTCACAAGAAATCAGAGAATGTGTGAAGAGTAACTTAGATGCACCGCAAGGTGATGAAGATTTGAATTATGATATATTAAATTGCAGCCTTATGACAATTATGGCGGGTAAGACCACATAAAACCAGCATCTAGGTGTTTGGTGCTGTTGTGGAAAATTACACAAAGAGGGCAATAAATTAGCCTTGTCTTCGTGTGTTAGACTTTAGACTTTTGTAAGACAATACACGATGTGCTCTTAAGCAGCCAGCAGCCAGCTACCGCGAACAACAAAGACGAAAGCGTTTGCAGATGAGTTCTGTATGCTCTAAATGAAATACATGGCGGTGCGGGCACCCAAAAGAGGTACAACATATCATAAGACCACATAACTAGTAGTGCGATATAGCACCAAAATTCAAGTCTAAGGTTTCTTGCAGAGAAATGAGTACACAATTGACATGTAGTGACAGCTTCAAGGCTGTGTTGTGTAATGTTGCCTTAGTGACTTTTTGTAGATCAATGCATTGAAGAACTGGTCCTCAAATCAGCCTAATAGAGCTTTTCAGAGGAACTTCACTGAAAAGTGGTTGGAAGCGCTACAATTTCATAAAAGGTGGTGTTAGAGAATACTGAGGGTAGTGAATTTAATGTTTGTGGGGCATTTAGATGGATCCTCTTAATTTTTTTATCATATGCAGCTTTGGGATGGAATAGTCTTCAGGGTACCACAAACATGCATAATAAGCTTAGCATCGTTTAGTATGAATAATTATTAGTAATGAAGGTATCTTTCGCTATCCGCAAAGGGCTTTGGTTAGCTCGGTTGAGCCCAACGAATACAAGAGTAACGAGTGTACCGTTACAAGTCAAAGATTGAAACTTTTTCACTTGATGAGGTTTTCATAATTGTATATCTTCCGCCGCTTTCTTTATTTATACTTAAAATTAATAGTTTAAATTATATTTAAGTTCGCTGGAGCTTCATAAAGCTTACTTAATGCTAAAAGCCTTCGTTTAAGTAGTTTGGGTTTATTAATGCAGCTCACAGCTTTGAAACTTTAAATTAACGCTGATTTGGTTAAAATTCTATACCGTTTCACTTTAAGTCGTTTTTTTTTTATTTTATGAGTGAACGACATTTCGTGCCGAATATTTTTTATATAAAAAGCTGCAGTTTTTAAAGTATAATTTCAATAATAAATTTTACAATAATCGATCTCACGCGGCTTAGTCACGATCGCAAGTATAAAGTTTAGAAGGGCTTTTGACAGCTCAGCGCCTAATCACGAGTAGGAAAATTTCTATTCATTTAATTTATTGATTTTTTTTAATTTTCTCCTCACATTTATGGAAATTACTAGCGTTGTTAGCTGCAAGCGACCTTCAAAATAATTACCACTAGAAAATAGCAACATGTGAGTGTAAATAATTTATAGTAGAATACGATGCTACAAAACAAATTTCAGTTGCGTATAAATTTTTCATGCTTATTAGTTGTGTGCAATAAGCTTCTTTGTTCGCGTGCTGAGCTATGGCTTAGCATTGACAACAACAACAGCTACACAACAACAATGGCAATTAGCATCATCAACTGTTGCGCTCGCTTGACTTATTGGCAGCCGCAGCAGCGCAGTTTCAAGCGCATCCGCCGCCATGTTCTGCTTCGCTGTCCCTCTCTCTGCGTTGCTTGCATTGACAAGCGTGTAAAATTCTAAAATATTGTTTGCCAAGCGCGGTTTAACTAGCTGAATGTCAGTGTCAGCGCTGCTCACATGTTTGGCTGTGTTTGATCACCATAGCTGTTGGGCATCCATCAAAGCTTCAAAGTTTTGCATAATAAAGTGGTAAATAAAAATTGCGATAATACAAAAGAAAAAACATAATCATGCTAAATGCTCAAATGGATGCTAAAATGCGTACTTAACTAATTGAAAAGTAAATATTTATTATTTAATTAATTATTTGTGTTGTTGTTGGTATCTATTGCTGCTCGTGACTATTTGCTGGCGTTTAGCTTGTTAAACAGAACTTCGTGATTTATTATAATTTTTTATTTTATTAATTTTTTTTTTTAATTTTATACATATGTCATAATTAAAATTTAAATTTTATGTTAAATTTAATTATATCTTTAATTTTTTTTTTTGAATTTAAGATTTTATTTTATTTACATATGTCATAATTCGAATTGAAAATTTAAATTAGATTTTGTATTTTTTATAAATTTTAAATTTAATTCTTTTTTATGTTTTTTTTTATTTTTTTTATTTAAAACATGAATATTTTTTTTTTAATATTGTGAATTTCATTATGTGTAACTGATATAGAAAATTACTTATGTCATATTTAAAATTGAAATTTTTTTAAATTAGTGATTTTTATTTTATTTTATAATATGTTTAATTTTAATTAATTTTCAGCATAATTTTTATTATTTTTTTTTAATTTGAATATTTTAA